TGACTGCAGAGGGCACACAATGGGATGAGGATCTCATAAGGCAGACTTTTGTTCCAGTTGAAGCTCACAGCATCCTCAAAATCCCAATCAGTAGAAGGGGCATCAATGATAAATTGGTGTGGCATTTGAACTCAAAAGGAATATTCAGTGTGAAAGATGTGTACAAGGCCATTTTATCCAATAGAAATCATAATCAGGTGCTTGACACATCCTCTGCTGAATCCAGTGCGGGTAGAACCAGAAGAAAACAGGTATGGCAGTTTACTTGGCATCTCCCAATTCATAACAAAATCAAAATTTTTTTGTGGAGATGTTGGTATGGCTTTCTGAGCTACAAAGTTAAATTAAAATCCAAAGGGCTTTGTGTGGATACTATTTGTGAAGTGTGTGGGGAATCTGAGGAAACATTGGAACATATTCTCTTCCTCTGCAATAGAGCCAAAAGAACATGGAAGCTTGCTGGACTGCATTGGAATCTTTTGCAGGAGGAGAATATATCCTTTCAAAGCTGGTGGAGCATTTGTGTTCTATGAAGGGAGCTGATTCATGGGAAGATAGAGTTTCCTTAACCACCTACATTATGTGGTGGCTTTGGAAAACTCGCAACTCATGGATATTTCAAAAAATAAACACTTCAGAGATCCAAGTGGTTCAGCAAGCCAAAGCAGCATGGATTGAATTCTCATACCCTGGTAATGGAACTTCTCAGGCCAAGTAGATTGATTATGGCTTTCTTCAACTGTCTAGGAAGAGAAAGGAGTAGGGCATTCTCTTTGACTGCCAGTGCTAAATTCTCTTCTGTAGACTAGTTCGAGCTTGAATATGGATGGCGGCTGGGAGCATTTTTATCAACATGATTAATCTTTCACCATTGTTAGTATTTGTTTGCTTTGCTGCTTGTGTATCTTTGGGCTTATTGTATGTTCCCTTTTGTTGTTCTCTAGGTTTGTTAGTTTATGTCTGTTTTCTAGTTTTTCGGTCTTTGGCCCAATGGTGGTCGTCTAGGGACGCATTATGGCTTGATGTCGTCTCTGTTTGTATCTGTTATCTAGCCCGTTGGCTTGTCGAACTCTGTAATCTTGAGACTTTTATTAATGCATTTAATGTTTGGAAAAAAAAAAGAGAAGGATACTAAGTAGATTGTACATATTTAAGTCTCAATATATATGTAGGCCTTTATTTTATAAAATTATTATCTCATATGTGGTTTATATCAGTACCGCATGTAATATCCCGTCGAGTTAATTATATAAATCATGTATTTAGTTTCGATATAGTAATATGGTCGATTATTATTTTTCGGAATTAAATTATTTCAGTCGAGATTACCCGAAATTATTTTCGAAGTTCCGTTTACGTTCGGAATAATTTCGGAAATTAAGTGTCATGCTTAGTAATTAATTAAGCATAAAGATTATGCTTAATTACTAATTAATCATGCTTAGAATAAATAAAGTCGTGGCATTTGATGATTTGTTCAAATTTTTCATTTTAAATTGCCGTAAGCAATTTAAAGGAGGAAATTTGTCTCCATAATGTATAAGCTTGAGGTGTCATTACCTAAACACATTATGGGATGACTAATCCATTATTTTGGTGACTAAGCCACATGCTCAACAAATGAAGAGAAACTATTGGCCAAATTATATATTTTCCCTTATCTCCATTCGGTGCTATCGTATTTAGAAGTTATGTGGGGAGAAATTCTTCATTTTCAGCTGGTTACTTGCTCCTTAATTAGTGCTAAGTATAGAGAGTGAGAGAGAGTTTACATAAGTGGAGAGGCTACCGCACGCAAGAAGCTAGCCGCGAGCATCGCCGAGAATCACCGCGCGTGCGCGGAAGAGGAGCACCTTCGAGCTATCGAGAGTTTGAGAAATCTTAGTCGAGCGTTCGAGAGGTAACCTCGGTTCA